TTATTTAATATATATTTAAAAAATAAAAAGAAACCTGCAGAACATCATATAACCAAAGTGACATTTCCCAAAGCAGTTGACAAGATAATCAAATTTTAGCAACTTAAAAAAAAAAAAGAAGACATTTTGGAAAAGAAAATTTAAAAACATTTTTTTTTCTATACCTGTGCTTTCTTATGAGGTATTTGCAGTGTCTTAGCAGGTATTCCTTTGAAGGTCGACAGAGCTTCAGAGACCAGAAATCATCTAATCTCATCTTTGGAGAACAGGATTTGCCAGGATTCCCTCCAAATAAGTAATGAACCTAAGCAAATGAGAGGCAGGGCAAGATGTTGATTGTTTGTGTACATCCACTATACAAAGTCTATTTACTATGTCAGCATCTTTGGAGAGGTTTATTCTGGAGGGAGAAAACTTTTAGACAAGCTGGTCTATCTTATTATTAGCTTTACTTTGTCCCCTAGGAGATGAAGAAAGTTCTTTCAAACTGCTTACATTTTAAGATAATTTAAAAAGCTGCTCTGTTAGAACGCTCCTCTAGCAGATTCCCAAGATATTTACAAACAAACATCCACAAACCATGCAAGCTCTTTCTTCAGGAAAAACTTATGAGCATGATAAATACTTAAGCATGTAGGTTATCAGCAGAAAAGAAGGATCTGGGCCAACTCTTGTTGCCCTGTTCAAAATACTTGATGCAAACAGCACTTGAGCTGATGGGTTACCAACCTCTTCTCCAATTTTGTCCTCAAAGACTCCAAATTCTCAATGTCATGAGAGAGGCTAAATGAGGGCACATGCATTAAGCCCTTCTCTAATTTGGGGATGAGCAGATTATACCCATATAATTGTGAGATTATTCCAGCAACCGCACATTTTCTTTGAAAAATAAACATTTATGCTTGTAAGGAAGACTCAGAAAAAAGGGACTTCATAGACTAATGCTCTGGCTCCAGAGTACTGTTGGTGAAGGTTCACTACTAAAACACCACAGTTCATGCAAACAGCCTGTTGCCTGAGTCTGTGAAAACCATTATTTTCCCCAAAGACAAGGGCCACTGACAAAGTGAGTGGGAAATCCTAAGGATGCTCAAAGTAACATGACAACAAGCCCAGTCCATCACAATCTTGGGAGATGGTCAACAGTCCTGTCCCCTGCACATCCCATAAGCTCTAGAGAACCTTAATTTGACTTGCAGAGAAAAATTTCCACAGTCTCTGGAAAGGCAGATGATAGAATGGTTTGGGTTGGAAGGGACCTTAAAGATCATCCAGTTCCAACCCCCCTGCCAGCAGCAGGGACACCTTCCACTACACCAGGTTGCTCAAAGCCTCATCCAGCCTGGCCTTAAACACTTCCAGGGAGGAGCAGCCACAGCTTCTCTGGGCAAGATTTGTCTCACTTCAATACAGCAGCCTAGCTGCAAGACACTCAATACACTACCTGGGCACAAAGGAAAGAACTAACTGAATAAAGAGTAAAATAAAAAGCCAAAACTGTCATGCTAAGAAGAAATTAATAAAAACCCATCAATCTTATCTAGAATGAGAAATCACAACCATTACTGCGACTGTCTTTAAAAAAAAGTTCCAGCAATCCTGAGATGCCAATCATGGAAATATTAAATATACCTCTACGTAAAATTCATTTTTTGTTCAAGGTAACTCAAATGAAGAAGTTTTTAACAGCCGTTCTGACAGTTTCAGGATACCTTACCTTTGAAATGCAAGGCTAGATTTAGAGAGAGGTAAATCTCAAGAAAAGTGGAAGTGTTAAAAAAGAACTGTTTATTTCTTCACTTTTTTTTTTCCACCCCCTTCACATCATCTGGTATTTCAGACTTTAAACTGTTGATATTAAACATACCACAAAGGGTCTTCAAATACTGAGGTTCAAAAAGTCCAACAGGCTACCTTTCTCCACAGCTTTAAAAATAATCACTCAAAACAATGTATTCTGCATCCCACTGATGTAGGCTCTCCTTATTTATATCAGAGGAGTTTAGAAAGGTCATTTGAACAGAGGTTTCTAAAAATAAGACACTTCAAAACAAGCACATCAAACAGCTCTTCAGATAAAGCTGGGCAACTGCCATGATTTAGCAACCTTCAGAGTAATTTATAAAATACTACTCTCAACCTCATGGTACCTTTATACTTAGAAGTAAGCCATCAAAGGCAGAACAGCATTTACTATCCAACGTTAATGTCCGTGATGAAGACAAACCATACAAGTTCTCCTCACAGAAGTTTTAAGCTCCTTAAAATCCCTCTTTCAGGTTAGTTAGGTTTTCCAAATTTTATTAACATCTCATGGAATGATAGGACTGAAGTATATTTGTCTTTTTCAGTTCAGACTGTTTCCAACTATAAAAAAAATTAGATGAAGTTTATTTTAATTGCAAAATATCCATGAAGGGCTAAGTAAGTGTCACAGTAATTTAAATTCATAGGTTAATGAATTTATGGTAACATAATCTGTGGGTTTGTGCTTTATTGCATAAATTCTGAAGTTTACCAAGTACTCATGTCAGCTACAAACAACTTTAAGTATATTTAAGCACGAATGTGTCCATTAAAGTCAGATAGTGCTAAAGAATGACTGATATGCTGGGCAAAGTAAAGCACCTCTGTTAGAGGAAATTCCTAACAGCAATTCATTCAAATACTTTCTCCTAGAAATGTTGGTAACCATCTGTGACCATTTAGAGATAAATGTGGCAGCTAAACTGAAGAAATTACTCCACAGTCACTAACAGGTTGAGATTAACTCCCTGAGGATAATGAATGAAGCTTCAAGTGTTCTCAAGTATGAGAACAGCTAAGAGATCGCTGCTTGACAAATCCATAGAGGCTTAGCATATCCCATTGTCCGCATTTTGATTTCATCTAGGAGCTATGATGTCTACTTCACATTGAGATAAAAAATAGCTTAGCACCTGATTTCAAAAGATGATAATAAGTTAATGAGAGTTCCCCACCACATTAACCCAAACATTCACACTAAAAAAGCTATGTTCACTGGACCATCTTTGAAGAAGTAACTTCATCAGAAGAGCAATAAGACTGAAAAAAAAATCACCACGTATATGTCTGGACCTTCATACCTTGTGCAACTCATCGTACACCAGTTGATGAGCAAACCTTGGGCAGGGCTCCTCTTCCTGAAGGCTTTTACCTGGATTTTCTTTTGCTGCTTGGTCATTCTTATAGACACAAGACCTAAAATATAAGGCAGTAAGTAATGATTAGTAGTACCTACAGGAAGTAGAAAAAGTTATTGAAAGGCTAATAAGGTAAAAATGATGTCAATTGGAACTGCTTGGTATATCACACCAGAGGTTTTCTTACTTCTCTATATATTGTCCTCTTATCATCCCATCCCCAGTCTTAGCTCTACAAAGAAACCCATCCAACAATCAGAGAAGGTCATTTTAGCTGAACACAGTCCTCAATCACAAGCTAAACGTGGATAAATAAAATCTAGAAAATTTTCTATCCTGAGCTTTGGAGACATCTTTGGATGTTGCATTATTTGCTAGCAGAACTGTCAGCATGAAATATTTTTCATTATGGGGAATACCACCTTGGACACAGTAGAGCTACAGGCCACAGACTATTTAGCAAAGTCAGTATTTCAATCACTGATTTCCAAGCAAACTTAAGTTGGAACTGAAAATCTATTTTAAAAAAACCAAAACAAACATTCACACCTTTCAAAGTGATTTGCCTCATATTAGAAGAGACCTTGGATGCAAAAATGCTGCCAGCTCTGGAAAAGGACAGTGGCAACCAGCTACCAAATACAATACAGTAAATAGATGAGGAGATATTTTCTCAGCATACTGGATCTAGCAGCTACCTGAAGGAAATGACCTCAAGTTGCACCAAGGGAGGTTTAGATCGGATATTAGGAAAAATTTCTTCACCTAAAAGGTTGACAAACATTGGAACATGCTGCACAGGGAAGTGGTGGAGTCACCATCCCTGGAGATATTTAAAAGACGCGTGGATGTGGTACTTAGGGACATGGTTTAGTGGTGGACTTGGCAGTGCTAGTTTAATGGTTGGACTTGATGATCTTGAAAGTCTTTTCCAACTTGTATGATTCTATGCAGCCTAGAAAGAGCTGATAAATCCATCATGAAGACTTCTCCATCACCATTCATACAGTCGGCCAGTTTCCTTAGTTTCTAACAACTAGTACCATGTATGCTGCTACTAACAACCTACTTTTAACTGAATTTGCTCCACTGATGATGAATCCTGGCCTTAAACACTTCCTACAGGAAAAACTTCTTATAATAGTTTACTTCCCCTCATCTCCTCCACCTGCCTCCAGTAAGGAAGTTCATAGGATTTCTCTCCCTCATTTGGCTCACTGCCATGGTGTCTCTAAACACTATGGGGGTAAAAAAAGAGGTGCCTCGAGAGAACTTGGTTATCTTCAACATTACCAATTCCATGGTTATAAGAGAGTTACCTGGGAGACAGCATTGTCTAGGATTGCTTCCTAAAGAAAGTCAGTGTAGATGTTAGAAATAGCACCCCTTTCATGGACTTACCAGCTGTTCCTCACAATGTCGTAAATCCAGAAGGAATTCCTTACATTCTCTTCTCGCTTCTCCTTGTCTTTACTGAGCCCTGACAAGACATGGATTTCATTCAGTTCAGGATCAATGGTAGCCCTTTGAGTGAAACCTGTCATTGGAACTGACCAAAAAAAAAAAAAAAGTTAGATACAAGAAACAATGGAAGATACAGGAAGGATCCAAATGTCAGACAAATTCATTTCTCCCCCCTTGCAACTCAGCAGATTTTCAAATATCCATGGTACAAGCACGATATTTCACATAACTACCTCTTCAGTATTCAGGGCTAAAAAACATCTTAAGTTTAATCTCCCTACCTAGTTTGCCCATTTTCTTCCTTTTAATTACTTTCACCTCTTCATCTTTCATATAAAATCACAACTTGGGACCGAGTAATCCCAAATTGGTATCTTCTATGACCACTTTTGCATGGCAGTCTCATTATTTACCACAACTTAAAACTGAAATGGCACTTCTCAAAAGAAGAGGCATGCAGAAGTCAACAAGCAAACAATTTGCTTCTTGCATATGCTCTCCAAAGCAGGGTGAGAGGCAGTAGGGGAAGAAACATTCACCCAGAGACTGACTCCTTCCCTGCTAAGGACAAGTCCAATGCAAATTCTATCATTCTCTTCCTATTTGTGACTCCTGGAAAGCACAAAAAAACCCATTCTGAGAGCAGCTATTTCCTAGTGAAAAGCATGGGCAGAGCTATTTGGGAGACTATCAGCTCAGAAATGAGGATTAAACTGCCTCAAGATAGAGTTAGATGATCCTTGTAGATGTGAGTGATTTTGTTATTATCTCATCTGTAAAAGGAAGCATTGATTCCAGAAGGCTTAATTGCAAAAGTTGGGAAACTCAAAAAAATATTCAAGATGAACTCAAGATTACGTAGCTCACAAACTTACATTGCTTCCTTTAGGATAAAGATGTCAAGGAAGTTTTTTGTATTTTGTAAATAGTTGTGGTATAATTACCAAGCTATTCTTCTGTTCCACCTTCAGATTTAGAAATATGGTGAAATACTGAGGATTCCAGTAGTTTTCATCATAATTCCCCGAAAAAAGGTCAGCAAATTCATTTGGCAGTCCTTTTTGTTTGTTGTATAATTCCCCATTTCCTGTTTCCCTAGGCAACCATCCTTCCAAAATGTATTTGTGAAGAGCACGTGATCTTTGTTTACAGATCCTGTTTGTCTCATTTCTCTTTCTGGGTCAGTTTACAAAGGCTGGTAGAGGTTCCTGGCCTTCAATCAAGATTTTGGCATGAAAAATTCTCAGAACTCTTGTATTTTGCAAATTCTTCCCTGTAATTAACTATGAACTGCACACGCAGCCTAGAAAACAAGCCTTACACTAATAAACCATTTAATATTGCTGTTTAAGAACACACAAAATGGTATTTTGCAAGCCCATTCTGTAATAGGTTTCAGTCTTGTACTTCAATCTTCTCATGTTGTAGGCCAGGAAAGTAAGAAACATCAACTAAAAAAATCTGAGCAGCATTTGGTTTTCTACAGTTTAAGTCCCTACTGAAATGTTTAGCAAAGGCAAAAGAAAAAAAAGTGTTTCTTAAAAATATAAATGCTTAATTCTTCTGTAAACTTAAATAGAAACTGAAATATATTCAGATAATTCATTCTCAAAGTTCTGTCGACAATATCCTTGCTTATGGTTTTATGGAAAAGCAGGAGGCAGAACCTCTGGAGCTCTCATCAGCATAAGCCTGACTATTTTAACCTTCAATTTTTGCCACAAAGTTTCAAAGGAAAATTAATCCAGTTTATAAGCAAATGGGTGGCAAAGTAGAGGGGGGGAAAAAAAAGCAGGGAACAATGCTGGCACAACAACAACTACATACCTTGTCTTAAGTGCAAACCACAAGGAAGTTTTTAAATAAGACTAATGAGTACTGTGAAAGTCACCCAATAAGGAAATTGAGAACAAAAAGACAATTATAGGCTAAATATCTTTAATTTTTGAAAAGTAACACGTAATGTGTTTGCTTGCATAATCAGAGACTGAATCATTGACCCAAAAGGATTAAATTCGAGGCATATTTGAGACATTTCTGGCAGGAGAGCCACCTAAATTTGATCAGCAATGCTAATGTACATGGAAAATGTCTTTGCAACCCTATCTACTACTTTGAACATTCGAGATGATGCTGGGTTTTTAGTCAAAAAAGCATGCAAATCTTCAGAGCATTAATACCTCAGGCTTATTGAAATGAAAATTATTATAATCATAGGGAGTAAGGTTGCTATATTACCATTGATACAGAAACCCTATGAAACTTGTCTATGAGAGTCCCATCCCTCCTCCTGAAATGTTGTTAAATAAATGAATTTTGTATCTAGTTTATGCTCAATTTCCTGAAGCTGAAATTGTTATTTAAATAATAAAGGAGGGAAAAGCCGCCAAAGTTCAGTGCCCCTTTTTTTTTTTACTCTTTCAAGTAAGAATAGGATTTATCTGCAGCAACTGCAATCAAAAGCAAATTCTAGTCAAGCAATTTCAGGCTTCCCTCAGTCGTATATCAATCTCTTCTTGAGACTGTTTAAAATGTAGAATGCCTAGAAAAATAATACATCCAAAAATATATATACGCCTACATTTAGTAAGGGTTGAAGGAGCAACTTAAGATAAACTCTTTGACCTATCCAAGCAACTGTGCAGAAACCATATTTAAGTAGTGCCGTAGGCCAGACAAAGTTGACATCTAATCTTTTGCAGAAGATCAAACCAGAAAGTTAGATGTAATATGGTTAAAAAAAAAAGAACAAAACCAAAAAAACCCACAAGACAACACAAATTTGGTAAATAAGTCCCTGCAAATAAGAAGAAAATAAGGCAAGATACTCTACACAGTAAGAGGAAGATGCTGTGATATTTTAAACACAACAGAAACGTTAAAAACATGTTTATGACGGAAGTATGATCCTTGAGAGAGCAAAAGGGTTACAAAAAATCCTCGTGACTGACAAACACTTCCACTAGGGGGTAAGAGAGCTTCACAATCTGCAAGTGCAGAGGACTTGCAGTAAACCCTGGATGTAATTCAAATGATTGCGGTCAACATACGAGAGAGGGGCAGGGGCTGTAAACTTGTGGAAAGTACTTGTGATATTTAGCTAACAAAATGTTGGGAAGGAAATTTAGTTCTGTGCAAGGAGACAAAATTGAACCTGTGAGAGTGAAGGATTGCTTAAGATATTTTTGGTTTTAAATTTTAAGAGTCAGAGTAAGAAGTCATAAACAACGAGGGGTGAGAATCAGGACACAGCAATGCCAGGGTACTGCAAGAACTATTATTTGCAACGTACGAGATCCAAGGGGTACAGAAAGTGGTAAGAATCACTCTGTGGAAGTTCCCTTGCTCTTCTGCTTCTTCTCATAAATCTAGATGTAAATCAGCTTTGTCCACCGCTTTCACACCGTTCAGAGTGCCTCTCAGGCCCAGTGATCATAGAATTATAGAATGGTTTTGGTTGGAAGGGACCTTTCAATGTCATCTAGTCCAGCCCCCCTGCAGTGAGCAGGGACATCTCCAACTAGATCACTCAGGTCAGCTGCGGGCAGCCAGCTTGAAGGACATAAAGCAGCGACTGAGGACTTGGCCCTGGTTGTTTTGAACATGGCACTGGCCTGTTGTTATCTGATATTAACTTGGCTCCTATGACAAGACATTACTGATTGAAGAGGAAAAGCTGTAGAGAGAAATTACTAAACACAATACAATCCCAAAAAGTCTAGTAGATGGTGAATGCTTTTCTTGTGCCACTGCATTCCCACCCCCCCCTAATCTCATTAACCAGTGCAGAGTAGAAGGGCAGTAGCTAATTGAAGAGGTCTGAATCCTCTCTCCAGAACTTCACATTTACATTTATTTTTATATAGCACAAATGAAAAGCTCATGGCCTCAGTATTTGAAAACAACATTCAGCCACACAGGCCTTGAGTTAGCAGCGAGTTACATAAACAGACTGTAAATCCTGAGATGCTGTGTAACCCTGTACAATATAATTTCCATTTAAATATAAAAAGGTTTTCTATAAAAGTGGCACCTAAGCGTGCAACAGGTAAATTCCCACTACCACAGTCCCTACTTACAGGCATTGATTTGATCATAGGGATCATTTCTGCAAGCTGAATACTTTTTGGCTTGTATATGCAAAGAGCTACAGTTGTTTCGAGCGAAATGTTGGCTGCTGCCAGTATTTAAAGCAAGAAAACAGAGCTCTTAAAACAGACAGAGTTTGCAAAGCAGTAAATTGGAGTTCACACAGATGTGGTTCTCACAGTACTAGACAGAAGTTTGGAAATTAAATCTCCTTTCTCTTATTTGAGGAGATACTATAGCGTGTTTTTAAACATGCTTTGAAACACAGCATTGACAAAACAATAATACAAAACTTGTCATCTACAGAGCACTTCTGAAGGATTCACGAAGGATAATTAAGGGAAGCAAGTTCACTGACAGCCTTTTAGTGACACCTAAATTACGAAACCTTCAGAAAATGTTCCTGCTAATCTTGTATTTACAAGTGACTCGCAAGTGTTCTCCCTCCTTGTGATACCTCGTGATTAACAAAATAGGAGAAAGCTTCACCACATGGATACTGCTGTTCATCAGAACCTGGCACTTCCCTGATGGATTAATTTAAAAAGAAGTGGTAGGTCAGCAAATTACTCCATCCCACGACTTGTCATCCATATAACACTGAAGCAGCACCTTCCCTGAACATGAATGGAGCAAACTTTGATGAGTGATAGAGATTGCATGCAGGCCAGCTGTTGACACAGCAAGATAATTATTATCCTCTTGGATTTTTCATGATGAGACTGCGTTGGGCTGTCAGCCAAGGAGCAACTAAGGAGACCATTTGAACAGTTTGGTTGTCATGTTGAAAAAGCAACAACTTCATGTCCAATGATCTGTTCTTTCCCAAGCAACATGAGATTTTGGAAATAAAACAGTTTAGTATATCTGAATGGAATTCTGCTGCTGCAGCATCTCTGTAAAGCATCCTTAGGATTTGGTGACTGCCTGCTTTCCTCCTCACCTTCACAGTCAGAGGAAAGTATTTTGAGATTGGTTCAGCAAATCACCTCACAAGATAGAGAAGAGCACATAAGGTCCTGACTCACAAAACAAAGTGCTTCCATGGCAAGAGCCGCATTGGCCACTAGCAAGGTAGACCCTGAACTGAACAAGGGTAAAACATGGCAGGTGTCCCAAAGAGATGATCAAAATGGGATATTCAAACTGTTTGTCTGAGTTGGATCCTGGCCATGTTGGGCTCGCTCTGCTTTCTATTTTGATTAATGTTTTTCCTGACATCGCCCTGTTTTCCATCGGGATTGTCTGGCCGGAGCTGTGCCGCCTCTGTCCGTGGTACTAACCCATGAAACCTCCCATCTCTCAGGTGCACAGTTCTGTATCTGGAATGAGCACCTTCCCCAGCAAGAGACCCAAGAACTTCACTGGTAGCTACAAAAATATTTGCAGTTTGCCCATAAGAACTACTTCACCACTAAAGGGAGCCACAACAGTGGTTAAGGTCTGTTCTTACTTGACTTTGGAAGTTACTCGATGACAAGAGACAGAATAAGATGAACCTGATTCACTTGCAGAAGGAAATTCTCCCTCTGACACACCACCTGAGTCAGGGCCAAACAGGATTATCACAGGAACCTTGACCACAAGTGTTCCCATTAGCTCCCTTAGACCTCAAATGACTGCCCATGATTAGTCATGGATTGCGTACTAAGCAAGTCAGGCAAGCTGTCAGTTGAGCCTTTTGAAGACATCTGATACTGGTGGCACCTCTAGACCACGTGTATGGTTCAGAGAGACACTCTGACATATGCATGTTGGGTTTGGGTTTTTTGTTGTTGTTTGGTTAGTTGCTTTTTTTTTAAAAAGTATACAACTGCTCTAAAAGGGCCTGTCCACCAACATACACATTTCTGCCTCTCCTCCAGCCACAGGCTCTTCAACTGTACTACACTTCCTCCAATTTGTACCACTACTGCCTTTCTTCACACCCAACTCATTACCACAGCTGCATTCTCTTTTCCTCAGTCCCATTTTGTCCATCCTCTAGCTGAATTAATAAGTTTCTTGCTCCTAACAGCGATCATGCAGCAGAAAGATAACCATCACTAACAGCCTAATTTCAGCGCAGTGCCCTCCTTTCACAGCAAAGAGGAAGCACCGGGGTTTTTGATGCAATGAGCTGGAGAAAGAACTCATGTTCATTGGCAAATGGCATTTGCCAGACATGAAGAGCTGCAAGGCTCACCCGTGTTCAAAGCAGATGAAGTCAGGAGACATTGTTAGTAGGCAAAGCTGTGTGCAAACCCATCTTTTAAGAAACTGTACCTTGATCAATTTTGAACTTCTCCCAGGAATGACAAAAGCTTACCTAAACTTGCTAAAATTATTGTCCTTTATTCTGAAGTAAGAAAGTTTAAATGATACTTATCACTCAATATTCGTTCACACACATCACCTATACAAGGAACTGGTTCCAGGATCAACATCAAAAGCACAACTAAGAGCAAAGAAATGCTAAACAGCATCAATATCTCAGCCAGAAGATAAGAGCAGCAAAACCCAACATATCATTACCAAAGTTCTCCAGCATTGCAACAACTCCATATTACTGATATTCCTCAACTATCCACTTCACTACTTTAAAAAAAAAAAAAAATCTTCTCGCTACTCTAATGGAAATTTTAAACAAATGCACAATTAAGTTATTTTAGAAAGGGTAAAAATCAAAATAGCTCAACTAAGAATAGAACTGAATGCGACATGCGAGCCAGGAACAAAACGTAATCATGGGACTTTATAGGAACATTTAGGTCAGGCATCTTCAACTTGACTCATCACACCAAGCAGCTTAAAACTTCACAGCAACCAGTCAGGGAATCACTTTGTTCATACAGATCAAAATGGTATATCAGCACCTACCAAGAGCACAATAAAGACTTGCTTTTTGGGGGTGAAAATAGTGCTGTCAGCGTTTGCTGTCTGAACGTAACAACCATTTTGTTCTCTTCCTGTTCGAATGCAAATAATCCCAGCATTTTCCTTCAAAAGCAAGGGAAGTGTTCAAATCTGTTTACTTTCTACACACAGGAGAACAGTAAACTGAAAATCTACTCGTGAATTATTTCCAATGAGTCATTTTCTTACACAGTCCACTATTCATCACTTCGAGGCCTGTGGGAATGGGGAGAAGGGCTAAATATTATAGTCTTATTTGCTTAACAGGGCCTTGAGATAATGCAGAGCTTGATGTCTTCTCCAACTGCTTGAGAGAGTCCAGCACAGAGCCACCAAGATGATTAAGGGAGTGGAGCATCTCCCTTATGAGGAAAGGCTGAGGGAGCTGGGGCTCTTTAGCTTGGAGAAGAGGAGACTGAGGGGTGACCTCATTAATGTTTATAAATATATAAAGGGTGAATGTCAGGAGGATGGAGCCAGGCTCTTCTCAGTGATGCCCAATGGTAGGACAAGGGGCAATGGGTGTGAGCTGGAACACAGGAGGTTCTGCTTAAACTTGAGAAGAAACTTCTTTACGGTGAGGGTGACAGAGCCCTGGGACAGGCTGCCCAGGGAGGGGGTGGAGTCTCCTGCCCTGAAGACATCCAAAACCCGCCTGGACGCCTTCCTGTGTGATCTCATTTAGGTTCCTGCTCCAGCAGGGGGATTGGACTGGATGATCTTTTGAGGTCCCTTCCCATCCCTAATATTCTGTGATTCTGTGATAATGCAAGCTCGGTATCTTTAAATCTGAAATAGACTCAGATGTCAGCTTGAAGCCACTCGTTTTAAAAGTTTCTAGCTAGAAAGAAATGTAGTTTTAAAAAAAGCAAAATGGTAGAATGCTAGCAATTTCATAGGGGGAAAAAAAATCTTTTAAAAGCTCTAAGGACAACAAACAGTGCGTGGGTGTGTGCAGAGCAGCATCAGGCAACATGCAGGCACCTTAATAAAGGAGAATGTCAACAACACAAGCTGGTTCTTTCTTGGAAGCACTCAAGTAAATAAATGACTCCAGAGAATAAGAGCTTGGGTACTCTTCTCCCTCCTTGGTATAACTAAATTAATGAGCAAACAATAACTCGTAACCATCAATAATTCACTTCAAAAGTTCAGCAAAATTACTTGCTAAAAATTAAGCCTGATGAAAATAAGGAGGGCAGCCTAAATTCAAGATAAATTAGCTTCCTGGGATTTTAGTAACTGGAAGAATAGAAAACAAGATCGGGGCTAAATATACATAATATGAGAAATATTCATAACTTCTCTCTGTAGTAGCACATACTGCAAGACAAATTTCCACTTCTAAGCTGTGTGCTGAAAATCAGGATATTTGCAACACAGGAAAATGATGTGCTTATACACGCAGAAATCCTTCTTGGAAAAAAGAAACATTCTTCTTTACGTCATTTGAGAACAGGTATCAAATCAGTTCTTCACGGTTGTGTTACAATGCCTTTTGGGTGTTTTTAAAGGTTTCTGGTATATAAACTAGTGGTATGAACCAAAGAGGACTGAAGTCTTGCTCCTTCCTCCTACCTTTTTTTGCACCTCCCTGATGATTTAGTACAAGAACAAAAGGACAACAGGTCTTCTCTTTCTAGTCAGCTCCTGCCAGGCAAAATAACCTCTGTCCTTCTTCTCCAACTCTCTGTCTCTGAGCATCTCACCTGCTTTTCTGCCCCTCAAACCAAGCAGATTATTTTTATTTTATGGCATTTTTCACCTGGTGAAAACTAGAAAAAAAAAAAATTGCATTCTCCTTTCCTGGTTTAAAGAAAATTATTTTTTCAGGCTTTTTCTTTGTTTTTGTTTTTGCTGGAGTTTCAAAGGAGGTATTTTTAGATTTTATTTTCCTGATTGTTTTTTATTTTGAGGGGATATGTGGTTTCATGCATCAATTATTTGTACTGTGCTGAAGATAGTGAGTGTCAAATGACGAGAAGGACAAAAGAGCTGGCATAAGTTTAACCTATATACTGTGGAGTTTACTTGGGTACATAGAGCTCGTTAAGGATGCTAACCTGACACCACAGGACACTGAAGCTGGCCTTTCACCTACTTAACAATATATTTTTCATCTGTACCAACAGGAAGAAATTAATATGTAGTTACTCTTACCCATCCCTGAATCTTTCTTAGTGCCATCTGATATGATATCCACGTGATCGCTGTCAACATCATAACTGAAGAAGTCATTCAAGTACGTCTTCGATCTCTGGCCACCAAATACATATAAGCAGCGATTTTTCTAGAATGGAAAAAAACAAGTATGTGTTCACCAAGCTGAAGAAAATATGCTGGTCACCTGGGACCATTAACAAAAACATGAATGAATTAAAGTGAAATAGATATTTCTATCAAGTTTAAAATCATGCCTTAACTATCCGGTCGACTAATCTTTATTTAGTAATATCTTTTACCTCCATCTCTGCAAAGACTGACAGGGAACAATTATGCAGAACAGTTTATTAATTCTCAAACTCAACAAACTTGAGAATTTTTGATTGGCTTTTTGATCTTCTTGATTTTTGAATTAATGATTTCTCAGTTTCAAGAGCTATAACCATTAAGGGCTCACAGCTTCTCCACCCCAAAAAGCCTCTTACAAATGCAATTTCAAATACTTCATTTTCACAAGCTACATGAAACCACAAACTTGGATCCAGCACTTTCAAGAGTGACCAGGCAGATTTACATAGTTAATTATTGTAGCCTTGCCTGTTCGAGCTATGAGTTCAGAACATTAAAACAACAATTCAATTTTTAAAGTTTAATATTAAAGAATTAACAGTCTCTATATCTAAAATTCATTAGATCATAACTTCTTTTTTTTTCTTTTTTTCTTTTTTCTTTTTAAAAAGAAAACCCCAAAAACCAACCCCCCCAAAAAACCAAACCACAAACCAGGAACAAAAGACAGACTGTAAGAGAAACCAGCCAGGTACCAGCACATTTACTAAATTCAAAACAGGCCAATGGCAATCAGCAAGCCAAGAATAACAGGTTTATTACTACCTTCAAGTTTGCCAAGTGGAAAGTTCTTAAGAGCCAGATTATTTTTCTTTCAAATGGCTGAGAAAACAGCAAAGGATCTAAACTTCCATGACCTGTGCTTACAGAAACCTGTATTCTTGCATTTAACGTGGACGTATACATGAAAAATCCTCTGGTACCTCTGCAGAATTTTGCATCACAATATGTTTTTGACCAGATTTTAGAGAGACATTCAAAACAAAAGTGAAATTGAAAGCTTTGAAAGCACAGTATTCACTATAAATATTCTGATCTTTCATTTGAAAAGGAAAGAGAAATAAACTACTCAGTATATTTTTCAAACTGGTCAGTTTTCAGTTTGAGGTATCAGTACACACTTGAATGTCACAATATTAATTTTAATTCTCTTCCTCCTGACCCCCAAGTCAGAGTTTAATGTCAGCAAAACATGTCACAGTTCCCATGTTCTGCACTTAAGCAAAAATGGGGTTGATGAGGACAAGTGGAAAGGCAATGGAAGATTTTTGGGGTTTTTTTTCAATGCCCAGTATTAAATGAAGCACTACACAGCCCCCTCTCCCCCCCATGCTTCTGCCTTTCCATCAGGCTCTGGATGAAGTGCCCATAGTGCCAACTGTGTCCAGCTGTTAACAGCTGCTCAAGACAACAAGCAGCACCTGGGTGCTCAGCACAGACGAACGAGGCCCGAGCATCTCAACACACACCCAGTAAGTCCCAGTATTAGTTAAGCTTACCATTCCAGTAGCCACATAGCATATTTACTAGACCAGAAGGTTCTAAGTTGTTCTACCAACTTTAAAAGAAAAACTCTTTAGATCAAATAGAACCATAGCCTTTGGGTCTATTTACCATTATTCAATTAAAATCAACTCTTTAAAATTCATCTTGCTTTTTACTTGAAATTTCACAGAATCACAGAATGGTGGGGGTTGGAAGGGACCTCTGGGGATCATCCAGTCCAACCCCCCCTGCCAAAGCAGGTTCCCGATAACAGGTTGCACAGGAAAGCGTCCAGGCAGGTTTTTAACATCTCCAGAGATGGAGACTCCACAAATTTTATTCAGTTGAAGCCATGAAAGCTCCAAGACTTGAATTAATACCACCTGCACTTAAAGAACCATCAGAATGTCAGCAAATATAAAATCAAGTGAGACAACACACCACTTGGGAGATTAAAGAGCTTCAAACTTGCAAGAAAAAATCAAAACCAGATGTTCTCCTTAAATTCAGTCATCATGAATCCAAGTATGGTGTGGATACTTACAGAATGGAACAACATACAGTGTCCTATTCTGGACTGGATATCCTCAGGTCCAGCATTACAGGAATCCTCTCTCAAAAGTTTCCATGTCTGACACTGGCAGTCAAAAGCAAACAACCCACTGAACTGCGGTTCACTGGCTCTGCTGTCATCAACGCTGCCGTTGCAGGTCAGAATTCTGCCTCCAAAGGTGTAAATCATGTGTTTTTCAGAATCCATACACATCTGTAAGAACAAGAGAAGTAGTTCTAAGCCAGCACATTAAGACTTAAACACGCTATGATTTAAGATTAAACATCCCTCCCCTGCAAGCAATACCTAGTAAGACAGTACTCTGCACATCTCCTGAACCTCTAATGAACAGAAAAGAATACATGTGTCTTCACAGTTGACAGGTATTAATCTCAGAAAGCAGTCCTTTATTGAAAATCTGAGTTAATTTTAATTAATTAAAATTAAAATTAATTTTAACTTGTTTATTTAATAAGAAAAAAAATTTTAAAATGAAATTTAAGAGGCTACATGTACCCTTAATCACGTAAAAAACTTGCCTCTAGCTGCTGATTTTAGGGAAAACCATTTTTAGAGTTTTTCACCGGGATCCATAGCCAATTCTGTCAGAAAGTCAATAGAATATTGCCTTTGACAATGGCTATGCAAGGGAAAAATTCAAAATCATTGCTAATTTACTGACCACCACTCAAACGATCCAAAACCAACCTCCATTTCTTACTCAGATTCCATCCCAAGTATGTATTTACTGTTAACCTCCACTACTGCACATTAAGTAGGGCCATAACCTGGCCAAGGATTTTTTGATGAGGCTGCAGGAGAAATATGTTTATCCCCAAAGCCTGAATTCAGGTTATGGCACAAGAGACAGATCACAGTACAAATCAAACAAAACTCCTGGACTCCAGGTGATGTTTTCAGACACAGAGCAACACAGAGGGTTACAAAACACCAGGAAAGAAAAAAAAACAAACCAAACAAAAAAACCCCACCAGACAATATTACAGTAAGATAGAGATGCTACTCAGCAAAGCCTACAGAAAACACTTCTAGTGCAGCACATTTTTGTGAAGGTTAAACAAAAAGTGCTATCGCAGTAGGTACTGAGGGAGAGTGAAAGAGCTGCAGATTGATAAAGAATTCAAGGAGGACATTCTTTCCTAAGAGACAGCAGGGGGGAAAAAAAAGAAATCATTTCAGAAACAGGCAAACAGGGTACCCAGAGTAGCCTTGCCAGCTGACAATTTACTTTTGCCTTTTCCTCAACACCTGGGAGATTGGTATTTGTTATTAATAGAACAGAAAGACTGATTGGCTTTTGTTCTGCAGACAACACGTATCTTTAATTTTTGGTGTCAGCAGAAACACATATTGTGCTGGCAAACAACAGCTTTGGTTACAAAACAGCTAGTACTAATAAAAACAGTTCTTAGGCTGCTTTAAAAAAAGAGTACTGATGTGCTGTTTCTTGGCTATGCTTTATAAAAATAAATTAACAACAAACTACCTTTTTCAAGTACACAAAAGTCATTAAACTCAACATAAGTAAAAAAATGTTCAGTTTGAACACATGGACAGGTGTGGTTTTTTAAAAGATCCATAGCCACTCCTCTAAGGTGTTTGAATCTTCAGAAAGCAAGCACATTCTACACATTTTAAAAGAATACCAATTTTGAAAGAACCCTGATCCTGTTGGCCTCATTTTGGAGGCTTGTTCGTAGTATTCTTCCAAAGGTACCATACACAGCTTTGTAAGTTGTTCCCCAATGCCTTCTGAGTAGGTAGATCTGCAAGCCCAGCTCAACAAGACTGATTAAAAACAGATGAACTGTGCTTTGAGAGTTAATAAAATGTGTCTTAATAAAATGAATTAGTTTGTAAAGGTTTTAATGATTCTTCTGACTCGATTTGATTAGAATACCAGTAGTCAGTGGCAAGAGACAAAAGTGTTATTAGAGTTTAACTAAGTGCAGATCACAACCTTCCCCGTCACTGCCTGGTCCAGCACTTCTAAATCACAGAAGGCAAAACTGATCAAAACTGATACACAAACACTGAGAAACACAGAATCATAGAATGGTTTGGGTTGGAAGGGACCTTAAAGATCAGCCAGTTCCAACCCCCCTGCCAGCAGCAGGGACACCCTCCACTAGACCAGGTTGCTCAAAGCCTCATCCAGCCTGGCCTTCAACACTTCCAGGGAGGGGGCATCCACAATTTCCTTGGGCAACCTGTTCCAGTGTCTGACCACCCTCACAGTGAAGAACTTCTTCCTAATATCTAATCTAAACCTCCCCTCTTTCAGCTTAAACCCATTTCCTCTTGTTTTGTCATTAACTGCCCTTATGAAAAGTCCTTCCCCAGCTTTCTTGTAGCCCCTTCAGGTATTGGAACTTGTATTAAGAGCATGAATGTAGCTGACCTGATGATCAAACACCAGTTTTGGACCTCCATCCGCTGCAGTGTCTTCACTTAGTAACATCCACATGTTTGTGTCAATGTCATAGCGGTAGAAGTCACTTTTCAGAGATTTGCTGTTCCTCACGGAGGAATCCAGATAGCGTCCCAGCGTGTAAATCTGCCTTCGTTGAATGTCAATGCACATCTTGTGACAAGATCTGGCGCTAGGACCACTCTAATAAATAAAACAACCACAAAAATAAAGAGTAATACATTTCATATTCCTCCAGGTAGGTCACTGCATACTCACTAAGGGCAAATAACTACAATCAGCAACTGGAAATCTTTTGAGAATTCAAGAAAATCTGCTTGTAATCAGACAAATACAGGATTAATATATAAATATCTATTTAACAAGACATTCCATAACTACTTTGTCCTCTAGAAAGATACCAGGCAAAAATTTTTTACAACAAATTTATGACCTGAAGCCTTTTTGCAAGATTCCTTAGAAAACAGACTGTTTCCTCCAGAAGTGATTCTCAGAGGTACGTGAAACCTACTTGATCTTTTAAAATAACAGAAGTTGATGCACATGAGAGGCAAATTAAGATGTCACACCCTATAAATAACTACACAGAAAGAAGATTAAGAAGTGCTCTATCACAAGAGCCTCTGTTTTATTAATAGGCTGTTTTCTAACAGATCATAACCAGACACTCCCACAAGCAATCACATCCTGTAATGGGTCTTTGAAGGTAACAAAAGCACTCCCTGTCCTTCACAGATAGATACAGCCACGCCAGCCTCCAACTACAAGAAAGTTTCCCACGGTAAACAAAACTGCCCTGAGTTATGATCTTTAAGAGAAACACAGAGGGACACTGTTAAATTATTCTGTGCTTATCCATCCACCAGACCTCATCTTAAATCATAGAGTAATTTATTCAATAACATTATGACGATGCTACGCAGTACTGGGCAGCATCCTCTCCGATTCCCTAATCTAATTTTGAGAGCCTTCGTACACTCATCTTGAGGAATGAGAGTGATATTCCTGCACTCTAAAATACTAGAAATTAAGATGTGTAAAGTCTTACTTGCCAAAGATGAGACAAAAGAAAAAAAAAAAAAACAACTGTCATCATACTTATAGATAAATTATACCAATTTTTTGACCTTAGTTTGTATAATTTTGGCTCCTTATAAATGACAGTGCCAGAATAAGGCTGGCTAGTTAATTTTGAGAGCGTGGAAACTGTTAAGATTTCAAGTGACAAAAAAACCTAAGATGTACAGAAGACTGAAGTATGAAAGAAAAAAAACTACTGAAATCTATTGAAAAATAAAGATTATGCAGTTAGGCAAAGATGTAAAATAAATCACTATTTATTAGAAGACTTACAGTTAAAGAAAAGTAGTCAACTGTGCCACACTAAATAATCAGCACAATATTTGCTCCACGTGCTACCAAATAATGCCTTTACAGAAAGCAAATCTTCATAATTGTACCATTTCATGTCAAAAATTAGACTGAAATTATTACTGAAACTTAAGATACACTAATGGAACACATTTCACTAAGGTGGATAAAATATGAAAGGAAACATTACATTTTTGTAGTCAAAACTTTCCTACTCAAGTTATAAAATTCAATTTCTTGATTAAAGAACAGTCATAGGAAACTTAACAGGAACTCAAACGACGATCTGAAGAGGTGAACTGAATTGTTCATATTTTGTAAATATGAAGCTCTATGTCGGCAATAATTACAGCTTTGAGGATTAGTGACTTTGTTGTAATTAAGATAATTTTCTTTTCTGAAAAAAATACTGATAGAAGTGACATATTGGCATAAAATCCTGAAACGTAGCAAAAGTTCATTCATTGCCTTTGGTCACATGGAAGAAGATGACAGAGAAGGCAGCAACGTGCTTTACCTTGTTCCTAGAAAATACAAACCAGCATCTTCCAAAGGACCTTGTTCCAAACATAAAGAGAAGTTTCTTTGCATGAAAAGTACCAATTCGTGGATTCACAAGAAAGTAACCCAAGTAGACTAAAATCCACCTCTAGTTATGCAGCTGGGACACTGAAGGATACATCACTGTTCCCCTGCCAAAGAAGAACCTTGGCACAGCCACCACGTAGATGAAACATCAAGACCTTCCTGTGCCTCCTGACTCTCCCTTCTTTGCCAGGTCATTACAGTTTTTTAATTGAACCTGCTGATTTAAGTTACCTTCCCCCACTCCCTCACTTCTGTACACTCCATGGGCTAAAGTAAATCCTACCAAATTGGCCCAAGCAATGTCTTTGGCACTTTCAGGAATAAAACTCTAATTCAGCCATGTTCAGACCTGCCTTGAAGAGCTGCATCATCAACTGAAATTTGTCCGAGACACTCAGCACCTACAATACCACTTTCAAGCCATTGGCATCAACAGCACAGGTACTACACTGGCTAAGTATACAACATACAAATGTCAACTCCTAAGACTATGTTAAAATGAGAAAAGAATTCAGGAAAAGACATCTTCTTTCTTGAATTACTTACTGGTCACATCTCACACGCTAATATCTGCCTCTTAAAAGAGCTGCTAAGGTTTTAAGTTGGATCATTTCATCTATACAGGCACAGAAATTTCATCAACTCAAGTTCACTTAAGAACTTCACCTCCATCAACTTGTGGAAACTAACTTGTGGATAGCATGAACTATCTCTTGTAATAAAGAAAGCTTCATCTAATTAATTATCTTTTCTCAAAGAAAACTGGAGTTATTCCTCCATACCGCTTAGAAGATCACATGGAACCTGCCAAAAGTTTCCAATTTAGTCTATGTGTTTACGAATAGGAGTAAATAGCTCCATTAAACAGTGGTACACATTGGTTTGATATTTGAGGTTGAAGAAGGGGAAAAAGGCCTAAATCTGTGTTCACTTAAGAGCTCCTCATTTAACTATGGAAGTCCTTGTAGTATGTCTATACCTCAAAGGGAGACACAAAGTCCATTTACAAAGACAGAAAGAGGCAGACACTGAAAATGAATAAAACACTTCAAGGCACATGTGGTTAAGTGAATCAAGAGCCCGTGGGTGGTTGTGAATGTTCACCCAAAGATGTGTACTTCATGCGGTTACAATAGCAAGCCTGTTGTTCAGACAAAGAACACACTGCCACAACTTGTCATGGAGAAAGTGACCCACCAAAGTCAAATGGGAAATAGTTTGTTGATTCCAGAAGCGTTCAAAGAACTTGAGTCCTTATAAGCAACAAGTAAGAAAAATTGACTGTTCACAGATATGACTCTTTTTAACCTACAGTTGAAGAGATCAAGTACGGTTAGACAACAGGAGAACCACCTTTTGTCCCCTCCTGCCAGGAAATAGGTTGGTTGATGATCCATGAGTTAATGTCCCAAGCTGAGTGGATCTTACTAGAGATCTACTAGTGGAAGGTGTCCCTGCTCACAGCAGGGGAGTTGGAACTAGATGATCTTTAAGGTCTCTTCCAACCTATACCATTCTATGATATGATTCTATGATTTCTATAGCCTTACTCAAATTTGGGCCTTATCAGAGATACTTTTTATGTGTCTGCAGTTTATCTACTGTACTTGCTACCCCTCTAAGCACACTAACTGCCTCTCCCAAACATATCTGCAGCTAAGAAAGACAGTTTCACCTGTATGTTGATAACCACACGAGAAGATTAAACAAGTCCAAGTCTTCTTGAGCAGAGCACAGAAGGTAAATAACAGTTTTGATCGGTTTGCAATCATCTGCTCCTGTGGTTCTCTGAAGTCATAACAAATCAATGCAAGACTTCTCATTAAGTAGCAGACTTCTCATCTTGTTCTTTAGATCTAGTTTCATGGAACACTCTTCTAAGTTGTGAGCATGTGTGATCTATATTGTTGCAGATGAAGCTTGGAGAGCTGACTAACTGCTTTAGCAGAGGTATTGCTTCCTAAACAGAGCGCATCTTCGTTAGAATCTAGTAAGTCAGAGCCAGCAACAGTGCCCAAACAATCTGAACAAACACCAGCTTTGGGGACTCTTTCCAATTCTCATCATGAAGCTCCTGGCACACACACTGCAGAAACCACACGTGAAAGAAGCTTGTGACTAGGCTAAGTTCTTATTCAGATGGCAAGCAATGTGTTTCGCTGCTTTGGCCAGTCCCTCCACTTCTGCCAAGACTGCGATGGCAATAGTTAGAGCATTAGCATATCACATTTCTAACCTACAGGACACCAAACAATACCAGAGATTACTAAGCCTGGGCACTGTTGGGTTTCTGTAGAACTCAATCAGTGCCCACACGGAGCTAAGAGTAACCTGAACAAAATGGCTCTCTGCCACCCAGCACCACCGTACAATTAGCGCAGCACAATAACAGCTGGGACAGATCAAACTGTGTGTGCCACGGCCCCGTTTTAAAGTGCTACAAAATCCCAAGCTTCTCTGCCTCTCTCTAATATCCTTCCTCAAATAGGTTGGTCTTGATGCAACTCTTCTGGTCTCTAAAATACAGATAAACGCCCTGATGAGTGTGGAATGTCAGGGAAAGGAATAGAGGATGTATAGGTAGGAGTATCTAAAACAAGATTTCAATCCTTTAAGCACCCAGGAGTGACCAAGGCCAAATAGGATTTTTTTTGGTTTCGTCAGTGCTACACGAAATTCAATTGTGCAACGCCAAGTGAATACACAGTAAACTTTCTGAAAAGCTTTCTCAACGTGCTTAAGCCACTTTATAAAATCTAATTAGAGCTTTCTTCATTTAACTTGCAAATGCTGAAAGCAATTATCCCACTTAAGGACTAACTTACAAAAACGTTTTCAAAAAGCAACACAACAGCACCGAGAGACAACACTGCCTCCTTAGAATAATTGATTTGTTCCTATAGAGGAGAGAAAGGCTCGGGACTCAACTCCTCAGGGTAGGGTCTGCTCAAATAACTATTTATGCCAGGATCAGCATGCATCATCTTAACACCAGCATCCTGGCGTGCTTCGCTACGGCACAAACATGAGAGCTTTCAGTTTTTGTTTTGTTTTGTTTTTAACTAAATGTCCTACCAACCCACTTTAATGTGAACAGGACTGCGGGAAGCCAGTTCCACTTTCCATCCCAACCCCCCCCCCCAGACAAAAACTGGGGGAGCTTGGCTTCTTTTGGTTATCATAACCTTTTGAAAATAAAGGGGTTTTAGTTGCAAGAAAATCTG